TAATCCATTGTAAAGCATTTGGTTCGAGAAGAATTAATCGCCATTCTTTGTCTGTTACATTCAATAATACCCGTATGGAGGAGAATTTATTGTCTGCATATACGTTATGCACATTAAGAGTAATCAGAATTTGCAGCCCGTAGTGTTTACATGAAGAGGAGAAATACATTGAAAATACTTTCAAGCACCTCAAGTACCCTATTTCATATTCAATGCGAAACAAATAAAATATTTAAAAAAAAAAAAATAACAAAAACATTTGTTGTTTTACCTACTAACTCTATCACAAGTACAATTGAAAAGAATTTATCTAAATACAACATAAAATTTGACACAATTGTTTATAGCAAAATACTTAATTAATATAAAACAAAAGAAGATAAGACGTGAAAAAGGAATTTACTCAATCACAATAATTCCCCACAAGGAATACACCAGAGAAACCTCAAGGAATTAAAATAACAGATTATAGGAACACAAAAGGGATCTTTTACAAAACAACACATTCAATGCATTAGTTGCTCACTGTAATGAGTTTGACCAAAATTTCAATTCCAAAAATACTACTTTAATTAAAAAAGAAAGCAATTTAATAAGATGAAAATATATAGTAAGTGCTTTAATCGCTAGATCATCCATAATAAATTTTCATCCAGAATCTTGGAACATTTCACTTTTTTTGTAGATCTCCTATTATCACAATGTGGCAGACTTTATAACAAAAGGATAAAAAATATAAACAAAAGAAACTAAACTAAATTGGCTAGATTATATACTGAAAAAGAATATTAAACATATATTAAAAGCAAAAAAAAAGTAATTAATACAAAATAAACTATTAATAAGTTAAAATTATTTCACCTGTAATAATTACCACAAGGATTACATAGGAGAAACCTTAAGAAATTTAAATAAAAGATTACATGAACACAAAAAGGGATCTTTTACAAAACAACACATTAAATATATTAGTTGCTCACTGTAATGAGTGTGACCAAAATTTCAATTCAAACAATTCTACTCCAATGAAAAGAGAAAACAATCCAGTCAGTTATCTGCCATGCGTGATACACGCTTTCGATACATGACTGACGAGGCAGATTTTTTTTCATGCAGTAGGTTGCCATTTGTTTCTGCTGTAGACCAGTTGTCATCAAAGGCTATTGAACCCCGTTTGTCCTCTTATTTACCCATAGCTGGGGGGAGAAGAAGAGAATTCATACTTTCGCCAAGAGTATTAGCACGTAAGTGAATGTAATGTATTCGTCTGGAATACATTACATACACTTACGTGCTAATACCCCTAGGGAAAGTATGAATCCTCTTCTTCTCCCGACAGCTATGGTTAAATAGCAGGACAGACAGGGTTCTATCAATTCACCAATACGAAAATGCTTAAAAAGTGCTTTAATCGCTTCTATAAGAAAATTTAAGCTGCTTGAGCGTGCATCGTCGGCCATTCAAATAGGCTTTTGCTTTGGTATATTTTGATTTGTGGTAAAACGGCTGCGTTTGGAAATTGGGCGGATTGTGTATCGCTTTACATTTCCTTTTATTTTTGTCTGCCAACTGGACGCTAGTTGGGCTTTCCTATCCAATCTTGCTTCCGACACTTTTGTCCTTTATTATTTCCGACTACCACAGACACTTATCTTCCGGCATTCCTAGCCTTTATTATTTCCGGCTACCACAGATTCTTTTCTTTTTTTGTTTGCATTCTTTTCGTGTTAATGCTCTTTTTTCTTTGAATATCTACTGCTTCTTACTGCTGCTTCGTATGTTTTTTTTTTCATTGAATATGTTTTAAGTGACTAGAATTTGTTGAAAGTCTTTTTTTTATAGATTTGGGGGTATTTGTTTGAATACGGTATTTGTGGGTATTTGGAATTGTTGTTAATATATACTGGCTTGTAATTTGTGTTTTACGCATGGTTTCTATGTTCTGTTGTTTATGTTGAAAGTTACATCTAGGAAATCTATTATATTTGGTTGCATTTTATATCAATTGTGAATCCTAGGATTTTGAAAGTTCTCTTTATATCTATCTCTCTATCTCGTATTTCTTTGTTTATTTTGTCAGGAGTTCTGTTATTGCTATTTCTTACAATTAATATTCCATCGTCCCTTATCTTTTTTAATTATATTTTTTAATTTGTTGATTAAGTATATGCATTAGATACCATCATAGCTACCCATTGTTATGTCAAAATTATTATTATTTTACTCTTTTTGGTTCATTTTTTTTATTGCAGTGTAATATAGATAATCTGCTAGGCTTTACTGTACTTATATCTTCATTGGGATAGTCATATACTGTTTTGCTAAGTTTACTGCATCATTCTCATTGTGAATTTCGTGAACGATCCATTTTTACAGTTTATGTTATTAAAACATTTAATTGTCACTTTTGTGTCTTTCCATTGATTTACGTTTGATATGATCCTTAGATTAGAGCATATTTTTTCTAATAAATGTTTGTTTATTTTTCCAATGTTGCTTTTTATGAGATTTAATAACCTGCTTGTGACTTTGGTTAAGTTGTCATTATGATCTTTTAATTCAATAAAGGGTCCTACATTTGCTAGTTGTTTAATTCTGTTGACTAATTTTAGTTTAGTGGCTATGTTTTTTAGCTTCTTTGTTTATATTATTTTTCTATTATTTATTTTTGGTTTTATAAAAGTTAACTTCTTTCTCAACTAATTTATTGTAATTTTTGGTTTCCATTTTATAAATTTTCTTTGTTTTGTCTGCTTTTATAAATAGTTTTTTATTATTATTATTAGTTGTTTATCATTTTTAGATTTTTTTCAAATTTCTTTTTAAATTATTATTGATTTTCCTTACTTTAAAATTATTGATTATGTTTATTAAGTCGTTTTCAAATGCAATAAGGTCTTTTTGTTGGGGTGGGGCATCCCATTGAGATAAATCCAAAGTTGTTTATATTATTATTTTTGATGTCATTGCAAAAATACTTTTGCATCTTAGGCATTTTATAAAGTGTTCAATTTTTTTTCTGTGACTGATTTTGTAGTCATGTAGGTTTGATGTGGGTATACTTTTAAGGAGTAGTTAAAATTTCAGATTCCACATTAATGCATTTTTTAAATTTTGTTTTAATTTTTCATTTATTTTGTTATTGTTATGAGAAAATATTAGAGCAGAAATCAATGCTGTAAAGAGAAGTGATCAAAATATATATAAATATAAAACCAATCACCCAAATTAAATGGGCTAAATTAAGTATCTTGGATTGCTTGAGGAAGTGGAAAACCCTTTTTTCTCCTTATAAATTGTAAACCTTCAACCAAAAATATCATATGAAATCCATGACACAACAGAAGAGTTTAATTATTTAACATTTGGAATTTTGTTTTTTCCTGGATTTGTCTATTTTTATTAATTGTTTTTTGGTTATGATTTTTAGATATTTTTTTTTATGTTTTTTTTAAATTATTGTAAAATTTTCTTTATTCCAAGTTATTGATTACGTTTACTAAGTCATTTTCTAATGCAATGAGGTCGTTTTGTTGGGTTGAGCATTTCGTTGATGTGAATCCAAAAAAAAGTGAATTAAATTCAGCTAAAATCAAATGGTTGGAGTGACTGGGGTAGTGTTGAAGAAATATGTTATCACTCAGGAGTACTGATCTTTAAACTAAAATTTCACAGACAGAGAGATACATAAACACACTAATGCATAGACATATGGACAAACACACACGTGAAATCGATACGTACGTTATTCTTTAATAATATCTGGCTAGTGATTTTTAAAAATTATATATTTTAGTTAAAGTAAAGGAATCCTTTTTTAATCCTAAGTTATAGCAATAGTATATTTGGTTAAAGATTGTAATAAGCCCAACAAACATTGATGACTCTCAGTGGCCACTGATATATATATATTGTTGTGGATCCCGCGTGAAAAATAGGTATCCAATAAATGACAAACGCAAGTATTTAAGCTAAGAAATTAACTGTATTTACACAAAATACTAAAGGTAATGCTGTTAGTAAAATCCAGGAACACGGTTAGTAGCAAATACAGATAGATATATATAGTCTCGAAGTAGGACTTCCTCAGAGTCTACGTGCTTGTAACTGACTTCTACAACCGACAACCGACACCCTACGACTCATGTACGACTCATCTTCTCTGCCTGACTGTGGCTATTTTATGGCAGCAGGACGAGTCCATTATATCCGAAAAGGGTGGACACCATAACATATATATATATATATATATATATATATTTATATATAATCCGGTGTTCTTGTTATTTTTTTATGTGTGTTTTTACGAAACAGTGCTCAATGTTAGGTTAAATTTATAGAGCATAAATATTATAAATTAACTGATTTTCGTTTTTTTCGCTACACAGTAATAACCATAAAATGGAAGGTAAAAACTTTAAATTTAATTATATAATTAAATTAAAAGCATTAGTTCCGTTTCATCTTCAAGCGAATATTGGGATAACTTATTTTTAAATTTACTGAGTTTTAAACACACAAATAAATTCAAATTTTCTGTTTTCATGGATACAGAGGAATCCAATCATTCAGACAGGGGTTGTAGCGTGTTCATTTATATATATATATATATATATATCACTGTATGTTACTAAATAATTATAATATCTGGTAATGCGTATGGAAGTTACATAAGGAATATAAATCCAGCAAGCTCAATATCAAAAACAGGGCCAATAATAATTATCAAAATAGTAAAAACGAACACTTAATATACCATCGTGATATTTATTTCAACTATTCAAACTGACTTTTACACACAAAAATAATTCAAAAAGGATTTTACCAGCCAGAACATAAATTATGCTAAATATGCAGATTCAAATTTAGGGAAAGAAAGGGTATGTATTCAGAAAGGGAGAAGGTAAAGGAGGGAACAGTGAAAATATTCAAACATGTGAAAAAAAGAAAGATTTATTTCACTTTTTCAAAAAGATAGCTGAGGTTGTAGACATGCTGACCTAATTTTTAGAGACACAATTCGAAAAGGAACAGACTTCTTCAGATGGTAAGGAGAAAAAGACAAGAAAGAAGAAAGAAGGAAAGAAGAAAGAACGGAAGAAGAAAGAATCAGAAGGTTAATTCGATGGACGGCTGGGGAAACTAGCAAATTTTGTATACATCGAAATTGTCTTTTTGTCTGGTTCATGTAGTCAGTTATATGCATGTACAGTTATATGCATGACATTTTTTAAATTTTTAAACAAATAAAAATGTTAATATTAATAATAATAATAATTTTGTAAGGAATTTTTGAAATACGGATTTCAGTGTCACACTTTCCGTCCTCTGTTAAAATGTTTCCCAGATATTTAAATTTCCGCACTTGTTTCATTTTGGTATATTCAATTTGAAAATCACGCTTTGGACCCAAACTTTTGCTCTTTGAGATGTTTAAATACTCAGGTTTCTTAGTTCTTTCGTCTTAGCCCCTTATCATCGCTGGTATGAGTGCATTGATTTTACTTTTGAGATAATATAGAGAAATAAAACTTATACAGGTTGTGTATCCTTTATCCAAAATTCCCAAACCCGAAAACCTCCAAAAAGGATTTTCAGGTGCTTAGATGACTTGCTACAAATCGAAAATTTTAGACAGCACTGCGAAGGTTCCTAGGTGATGTGTAGCTGCTGTAAGTGACTATCTGCCCTGGGGGGGAAGGGGGGCTGTCCAGTCCAGCTACGTAGCCTACTTGGGTGCAATTTTTTTGTCAAAGCAACACTTTCGTTCATGAATAACTTACCAAGTGTTTAGTGATCAGTTAAGATATTGTTCAAAATGTCAAATAGTCCTGCATTTATATACAGTGTAACCCGGATATAAGAGAATTGTCGGGACCGGAGAAGAAGTCTCTTATATCCGGGTTTCTCTTATATCCGGGTGACACTGTATATATATATATATATATATATATATATATATATATATATATATATAAGATATAACCCGGATATAAGAGAGTTGTCGGGACGGGAGAAGAAGTCTCTTATATCCGGGTTTCTCTTATATCCGGATTACACTGTATATATATATATATATATATATATATATATATATATATATATATAAAAGATATACAGTGTAACCGGATATAAGAGAGTTGTCGGGACGGGAGAAGAAGTCTCTTATATCTGGGTTTCTCTTATATCCGGATTACACTGTATATATATATATATATATATATATATATATATATATATATATATATATATATATATATATATATATATATATATATATATATATATATATAAAAGATATACAGATGTATCCCGGATATAAGAGAGTTGTCGGGACGGGACAGGAAAGTCTCTTATATCTGGGTTTCTCTTATATCCGGATTACACTGTATATATATATATATATATATATATATATATATAAAATATATATATATATATATATATATATATATATATATATATATATATATATATATATATTAAGATATACAGTGTAACCCGGATATAAGAGAGTTGTCGGGACCGGAGAAGAAGTCTCTTATATCCGGGTGTCTCTTATATCCGGGTCTCTTATATCCAGGTTACACTGTATATCTTTTCTAAGTAGCGAACATATTTTTGTACACGTACAGAAAGCACAAAATATTATTTTTGCATGAAATCTTAATTTCACGACTTAAAAATCCATCTGAATATTACATGACTAGCGTCATCACATGTGTCTGTATGTACACAAAATTTATAAAATTTTATATGAAACAACTTTCAGAGTAAATAAAATTACTGTCAGGGTTTATGTATAAAATGTGTTATGAAATGTAAAGGGATATCATGTTTATGTTTGGATTCCCAAGTTTCCCCATTTTATATATATATATATATATATATATATATATATATATATATATATATATAAATAGACTGCAATCCAAAATCCGGAAAAAATTGAAAATCGAATCACTTATGGCTCCATGATTTTCGAATAAACGATTCTCAACATGTATTTACAAATGACACAAAACGTTTGGTTTTAATTCCATTTTTAGCAGAAATTTTCGAATTCTCTCCGATTTCTTTTTGCTTGTCTTATACGCCAACAAGAGAACAATTATTATAATGACGTCTAATATGGAAGAGGTAAAAGAAAGAGGAAAGATGAACATTTATTATCATGTACTCTAATAAGGAAGGAGTAAAAGAAAGAGAAAAGGGAACATTTATTGTAATGTACTCTAATATGGAAGGGGTAAAAGAAAGAGAAAAGATGAACATTTATTTTAATGTACTCTAATATGGAAGGGGTAAAAGAAAGATAAGAACATTTATTTTAATGTAATCTAATGTACTCTAATATGGAAGGGGTAAAAGAAAGATAAGACGAACATTTATTTTAATGTAATATGGAAGGGGTAAAAAAAAGAAAAAGGTGAACATCAATTTTAATGTACTCTAATATGGAATGGAAAGAAAAGAAAGATAAGGAAGGGGGTAAAGAAGATAAGACGAACATTTATTTTAATGTAATCTATTTAAAGGCGAACATTTATTATAATGTACTCTAATATGGAAGGGGTAAAAGAAAGATAACTCAAACATTTATTTTAATGTACTCTAATATGGAAGGGGTAAAAGAAAGAGAAAAGGTGAACATCTATTTTAATGTACTCTAATATGGAAGGTGTAAAAGAAAGAGAAAAGTTGAACATTATAATGTACTCTAATATGGAAGGGGTAAAAGAAAGATAAGACGAACATTTATTATACTGTACTCTAATATGGAAGGGGTAAAAGAAAGATAAGGCGAACATTTATTTTAATGTACTCTAATATGGAAGGGGTAAAAGAAAGAGAAAAGGTGAACATCTATTTTAATGTACTCTAATATGGAAGGGGTAAAAGAAAGATAAGCGAACATTTATTTTAATGTACTCTAATATGGAAGGGATAAAAGAAAGATAAGGCGAACATTTATTATAATGTACTCTAATATGGAAGGGGTAAAAGAAAGATAAGTCGAACATTTATTTTAATGTACTCTAATATGGAAGGGGTAAAAGAAAGAGAAAAGGTGAACATCTATTTTAATGTACTCTAATATGGAAGGTGTAAAAGAAAGAGAAAAGTTGAACATTATAATGTACTCTAATATGGAAGGGGTAAAAGAAAGATAAGACGAACATTTATTTTAATGTAATCTAATATAGAATGGGTAAAAGAAAGATAAGGCGAACATTTATTATAATGTACTCAAATATGGAAGGGGTAAAAGAAAGATAAGGCGAACATGTACTCTAAAATGGAAGGGGTAAAAAAAAAGAAGAAAATGGGACAGCACAAAATGTTTAGATATTAACATTCTATGGTTTTATGGATTGAAATGTTATTCCAGCTGCAATCATGAAAGTCAAAGAATTAGACACGTGAGTTCCGCTGCTTGTCATGTTAAAATCGACAATGGCACCTACTGGACCGTTACACATATTTGTAACGCATAGGGAAACGCAGATCAATCCTTGGTGGAATCCGCATATAGACACGTTGGTTTCAGGGTTCAGCGTCTTCATATTTTGGAGATGAGGTAGCTTACTATCAAAAGAGAAAGATGAACCATTGCTGCAACTGCGAATAATCTTGGTTATTACTCCTGAAATTATAAAACAGGTAAATACATCATCAACATAATAACATTGTATCATTTTTATGAAGACTATAAAGATGAAACACCACCCACCTCCAGCGTTTCCGTAAAATACCTCCAGGGCTCGAGTGAATTAAGTAGATGCAAGGTGGATTCTTTCTTTCTTTTTATGTGCCGTGTCCTTTCAGGACGTAGGCGATCATGGCCCTCCAATTCCCCCCATTCCTTGTGGTTCTCAACAAGTTTTGTGTTTCTGCCAACTCCCCCAGACCACGCTCCACCATCCACCTACCGAAGCCCGCCACGTATTTCATGCTCTGCTTTTCCCTGTCTCCTATTCGTCCCGTGAGTATCAGATTCTCCGGGCCCTCCTTTCTCATCACGTGTCCCAGAAATTTCATCTGCCTCTTCCCTATGTTAAGCATAAGCTTCCTCCAGGTTTGCATCCTCTCCAAGACCTCATCGTTGCTCACATGCTCAGTCCATGATATCCCCCCAAGACCTCATCGTTGCTCACATGCTCGGTCCATGATATTCTCAGCATCCTTCTGTAGAACCACATCACCACCGCCTCGAGTCTCTTCTTCATCCTTGAGGATACTGCCAAACATTCGCTGCCGTATTGGAGGACAGATGCCACGTAGCAGCTCAGTACTCTTTTATTATATTTGTCACCATAGAAATCCTACTTTCGCTGCTTGTCTTCTTAAAGTCGACATTGCCATATAGGAGGACTGGTAGATACCTTTAAACTGTAAATGCTTAAATACACTAAATACCTTTTAGTCTTTATAAAACGGTACATAAAATGAAAAAATAATAAAATTGTTTTTAAAATTGTCATTTAAAATTGTTCAATAAGTGCTACATTTAATGACGAACTTTTTGTTTCAGTGTCAAAAATATATGTGTGTGTTTATGGGCGCATCGGTAGTGGTAGCACCTTTGCAGCGAAGCGGTCTACTGTATTTTACTCGGGTGAATTGCGATGCGGAACTTTACTGAACTACAACCTACATCCATATCTCACAAATGGCTCTAAGAAGTCAAATGGGCACTGCAACGTCACAACCCTGTCAAAGACCTTCCAGCCAGACTATGTGAACGTACTCGAAAGAGTTTCCCGACCAGAACGGTAAAATAGGAGGAGGGTTTTTTCTAACAATTTTTCTCGACTATTAAGGCAGGTAGGTTTGATTTGGTTTGGTTTATTTTGTTTTACCTCAATGGGTTATTTAATGTCGACAACATTTTTAGGATAAATTCGTATGAATAGAATATGTATTCTTTGGTTTAGATTGGTTTGGTTTATTTTGTTTTACGGCATATCAACCTCAATGGGTTATTTAATGTCGACAACATTTTTAGGATAGATTCGTATGAATAGAAGATGTATTCTTTGGTTTAGATTGGTTTGGTTTATTTTGTTTTACGGCATATCAACCTCAATGGGTTATTTAATGTCGACAACATTTTTAGGATAGATTCGTATGAATAGAATTTGTATTCTTTTGTTTAGATTAGTTTGGTTTATTTTGTTTTACGGCATATCAACCTCAATGGGTTATTTAATGCCGACAACATTTTTAGGACAGATTCGTATGAATAGAATATGTATTCTTTGGTTTAGATTGGTTTGGTTTATTTTGTTTTATGGCATATCAACCTCAATGGGTTATTTAATGTCGACAACATTTTTAGGATAGATTCGTATGAATAGAATATGTATTCTTTGGTTTAGATTGGTTTGGTTTATTTTGTTTTACGGCATATCAACCTCAATGGGTTATTTAATGTCGACATCATTTTTAGGATAGATTCGTATGAATAGAATATGTATTCTTTGGTTTAGATTGGTTTGGTTTATTTTGTTTAACGGCATATCAACCTCAATGGGTTATTTAATGCCGACAACATTTTTAGGATAGATTCGTATGAATAGAATATGTATTCTTTGGTTTAGATTGGTTTGGTTTATTTTGTTTAACGGCATATCAACCTCAATGGGTTATTTAATGCAGATAACGTTTTTAGGATAGATTCGTATGAATAGAAGATGTATTCTTTGGTTTAGATTGGTTTGGTTTATTTTGTTTTACGGCATATCAACCTCAATGGGTTATTTAATGTCGACAACATTTTTAGAATAGATTCATATGAATAGAATATGTATTCTTTGGTTTAGATTGGTTTATTTTGTTTTACGGCATATCAACACCTCAATGGGTTATTTAATGTCGACAACATTTTTAGGATAGATTCATATGAATAGAATATGTATTCTTTGGTTTAGATTGGTTTGGTTTATTTTGTTTTACGGCATATAAACCTCAATGGGTTATTTAATGCCGACAACATTTTTTTATTGACGGTAATATTTTATTTTGTCAAAAATCTGTTTCTGGTAATATTTTTCCTTCAAAATTGTATTGCTGTTAATAATTTTTTTTCAAAAAATAATTTCTGGTAATAGTTAACTATTTGCCCGTAGCTTGGACCCTAACAGGTGCTACCACCCCGGTTCAGGGTGGACTTGGGAATAACAGCAATTAAGAGGTGGTTCACACAACACTGACATTATATAAATCCACATCCCTATTAGTCAAGCCAACTAGGTGACTGCTCAAGCTTACTTGAGCCTGGGCGTTGCCTTACATTCGTCTTGGAAGACGCACACGTATTTATCAGGGTATTTGTTAGGAAAAAAACGAGTCGGAAAATAAGCTACCTGCAATGAAGTTTCTAAGAAAAGCGATTACTAGCCTGCTGCAGTGATCATGTTTCAACTTGCATTGCTGCGTTTAAACCGGTTTTTAAGTGTGTCGTATATAAAAAGGTCTGACTTCAGCGAATTAGGTCATATATTTTGCCTGAACTTATGAAATCTTATGTAAATTAGCACATGTAACGAGGTTACAATGAACTTTTGAAAACAATTCTCTTAGTTGAATTCCTAAGTAAATATTGATTCTATCTTAAAAAAGTAAACGCCAATTTAACAACTCTCATTAACCTTTTTTTGCTGCTTAGTTTGTGAGATGTGCGCACTTGTTGTAATATAACTATTTTATTGTTAATGTCACCTTCTGAAACCAAGGTGATTATTTGCAGAGTCCACGTTGGTTTGACCTGAATTTCCCTATGCAGCTCAGATACGTGTAATGGTCAAGAAGGCGCCATTGTCAACTTTGCCAGGACAAGCGCTAGGAACTTTCTTTCCTTTTATCTGCTGCATAAAAAGGAGGCAACCCAACCCCAAAGGATAAAAGCATTGAAAACACACAACTTTCAATATGTTTTTACAATACCTTTTTTTGCATATAATCCCTAGACGCAGTTTATATATATATATATATATATATATATATAGTTTATTAAACACTAGGTAATCCGTATGGGTAAACCTAAGGAGGATAAAATCCAGAGACGTCAATGTAAATTCAGAGCAAATAATTTAAATAAAAACAGACCACTTTAAGGTTCCATGTAATAAATTATTTCACTACAGCCCTTTTAAAGGACTGCGGATCATCAGACTTTACTTCCAAATATATATATGTGTTAACAATTCTGAGCCATCACACATTACACCACATGCACAGGCAAGCTTACGCACCTGCTCGTTCACCCATTA